CCCGCGTCTCCTGCATCGGCAGGCGGACTCTCAAGCACTGCGCCACCAGGGAAGCCCCAGAATGACTATTTTTTAAAGAACATTTCTGTTTTAGGAAATTAGTTTTTTCTATTCCACATACAGGTATATGTCCTTTGGGCATAGTATCCTCTACTCAGTGGACACAGATAGGATAGCTGGTACCAGTTTCTATTATGCGACAGCTATCAGAATTTTTGTGTTTTAATTTTCAAACTTAAAAACTCTTCCATGTATATATAAATATATAAAACCTGGAAGCTTAAAAAGATTCTTAAATCATATCACCTCACCACCCATTCCCACAGATACATAAAGCTTTTGGAACTGTTTTCATAAGAAATGTTGATGTAATTAACAAGTTCCTTCCTTTTTATTTCAAATACATAATCAGAAGATACTACAGTTGTGTTGATGCAGGATCCTGTGAAGCTACATAATTATTTCAAAATGTTTTTTAAAAAGAGAGAGAATGACATTTTATTACACTCATGTGGCTATATAATGTTATTATGTGTTATATTTTTTAAAATATTGTACTGCTAAATTATAATATATCACTAATAAACTAATATAAAGTTTAGGAGGTACTTGATGATTGCTTATTGAGTGAATTAGTGTACTAGACCAAATTTATACTCACTTCTAAGGCTGTAAAAGGGAATTTATTTGATCACTTAATGTTCATCTAGACTGAGTTCAGATTCTAGATAGAGTTCAGGCTATCTGTAGCATTTTATAGATAGGAAATTGAAGGTCTGGTTCAGGATCTATGAAGAATGGGTTTGTTAAGCTTTAGTCTGGTATTTTCATACTCAGTAATGTTTGCTCTTGGGTTATTGTGTCTCTAAAGTAAGACTCTTCAAGTCCAGCTTCTTTGTTACATATTTCTTTTCCTCTCATTACTAAGTTTTAAAAAATCTTGGGTTTGTTTTACCTTTCCTGCAGAGTTAGGGATCTTGTATTTTGCTTTTTTCTGTTCCCCATTACCCTGCCAAGAGTTGGTTTTACACATCCAGTGCCTCTCAGTTCAAACTAGCCGCATTTCAGGTGTTCAGTAGCACATGTCTAGAGGCTGCTGTATTGGATAGAGAAGTTCTAGACCAAATAACAAAGTATAGGCTCTCAGAAGAGAAAAGAACAATGAAGCCTAGGCTAGTTATAAAAATTCTAACTGAGATCATAATGATCTGTTTCTTTCTTAATAAGAAAGATAAAGATGTAAGTATGAGGTGTAGATATTATTTTTAAATTATAGGTGAGGAAACTGAAGTCACAGAGCAGTGGCAGAGGCAGAACTTATTGACAATGTGTTGATTTTAGGCTTATTTCTATTATAGCTCCTTTTCTAATACTGTTACAAAAAGTGATTTATATAACAACTGATTTATTTTGATATATGGTTCATGTAAGTAGTAGCTTTAGTTTTGGGAGTAGTAAATTCAGTATAATATATGACTGCATGTAACAAAGGTATTCTCATCAGGTCTCTGCTCAAAGATAAGATATATGAAAGAAAACCTAGACTCCATTACCACTAGATAGATAGGACAGTGAGCCAGAGTTCGGCCATTTATTAGAATTGTGTGTTTTTTATCCTAATTGGTAGAAATTGACCTATTCTGTTGCTTCTTACCTATTTTACGTCTGACATTCCATCTGAATTACTAAATTGGTTAAAGAAGCAAAGATGAGAAACCCTTCTGGAGAGCTGGGAAGTGGGAAGAGGTATAAATGGGGAGTGTTAAATGTATTCTTGCCTAACCTTTTTAGAAAAGAAGAGCCAAATTACTTTTTCCTCTCAGAGACTGGGAACATGATCACTAACATTGTATTCCTTTTAACATTATTATTACTACCAAATATTCCGTTAGAAGTCTTTATAATGAGCTTTTATATAATTATGTGTATTTTTGGATGAGGTAGACAAATTAGTAAATGTGACATATCTAAGTTATAGGTGAATCATTTTGAAGGAGGGCTTTTAGTACTATGCCTGGCAATACAGTAAATGCCTCTTTGTTGACTTAAGAGTACTAAAGAGAGAGATCTGGGTTTTCAGTTTTGTTTTGCCACTACATACTTAATTATGGTAGACTTACTTATGGTAGACTTAAGCCACTTAATTATGGTAGGCTTTTGTGTCTTCATTTGAAAAACAGGGTTTGGATTGAAGTATTAATGTGACTCTTTTTGACTCCAAATTTCTGAGATTCAGTATATTTTTACTATCTATATTTTGTTTATAGTATTTGATATTAAGTTATTTCAGTGTCACTAGAGCCACCTGTTGTTGAAGTGTTTGGTTGCTTTTAGTCTGAATTTCTGTAATTGAAGATACTAAAATGTTTTGTGTATAATGAATTGTTTTCAGTAGCTTTTTACTTGTTCATGTTCCACTAGTACTTAACATTTCTGCTTATGATTTCTTTACACTTAATCTACTATCAAGAAGCTAATACTTTCTGCTGCTCTTAAAGTGTTGATTTGCTTATCCTAATTTGGAAGTGCTTTCATTTAAATGTGATTTTGTTTTAATATTCAAAAGCCTATTTTAAAGTACTGTCTTAGCATAGTTTAGAACGGTTCTTAGAATGACGTTGAATTTCTCATTTGCTTTATACTTAATAATAAACACATTTATTTTGATATAAACAAGGTTTTAAATTTGTAAAGTGGTTCCAGGAAAATGTGGCAACATCAGTTAGATTACTGTAAACAAAATGGTAGTTGTCCTGCTTTCTGAGTTTTCAACAATAATCTAGAACTGTAACATATTTGAAAATAGCCTATTTTCATTTTTAAGAATGGAAATATTACATAAATAATTTCAACTTTAATGACCAAAATTGTTCTCCATATTTGTAAAGTTTGTGAAGTAATGACAAAGTGACATAGATTCAGAATTACCAGAAATCAGGCTTTGTGTAACTCTAATAAAATGACACACACACACAAAAAGACACATAGTACTATTTTGTAATACAGAAATGAGGTATAAAGCTGTTTACCTCATTAGATCATTAATCCATAGGCATAAATAGCACTCTGGTAAATTTCACAGGAATA